CTAAAAAAAGAACAACGTTACTCATAAAATAAAAAACCAAAAAAAATTCCAAACCATATTTCACAAATATTGGGTGGCAAACCTGCTTAATCAGCAGCTATAATGCATATCCATTCTAAAGAATAAAGCCTAGATCTGTCACATTCTATAAAACTGTGTCAAAGTTTTATGAAGGTAATCCCCAAACCCAAAAGTTTGTTAGGTATGGTTCATATCAGAGAGGATTAAAGTACATTAACAGCTCTCTAGCCCCTGAAGAATTAAGAATGTCTGTAGCCAAATTCTTATAATGGTGAGTCGTTTGACAGTTTAAACTTTCCCTAATTCTACCAAGTAAACCTTGTCCTTGCATAAGAGTGTAATCTCTATTCTTCATAGTGAAAGAAGAAAAATAAAATAAAAAGAGAAGAAGAAAGCAATCTCCAATGAACATAGGCACATCCTCATATTTGTAAAATTGACTTTTGTCTTGGGTTCCCTCTTGGGTGATGCTATATGAAAAGAATGAAAAGACAGGCGGCTGATAATTTAAATTGTCTTGGCTGAAATTAGAAATGAAATGAAAAGGGGGAATGATTACTTATCATTCCATTGTGTACCATTTTGTTTCATAATTGCCCTTCCCCTCTCTCTCTCCCCCAACTGGTCCCTTATTGTTCCAACCTCCTCCTACATTTAGATGACAAGTCAATGATGTCTCCATATAAATAAACCCCAGCTCAGTCCCTTGTTTTGCTGAATCTTTTGTTATACGCTTCCAACTCAAAGAATAGGCGTAACCATGCCTTGAGTTTGGACTGAACTGCTTTGATCATCAGAACATATTTTCGTACACTCAGCCACCATTATCTAATGCTTAATTAACACAAGGCACATCTATTTCCTCCTGTTTAACACAACAACTTCAACCCATCCGTTGCAGCATATGCCCCAGCAGAAGAAAAATCCTAGATCACAGGTTTGTATCAGAAGTAACTAAATGACAATACTCGTCCTTAACTCTCACAATTAAAATGACTGAAATAGAAGACAAGAAATCAGAGCGATCATGGCAAGGTTAGAGAGAGTTAAAGAAATGATGTTTGACATCCAAAAGCTAAAAATAGAACATACACTCCTATATCCCAAGTTTTCTATGTTCCAGTAATTGCGCTCTTTTCACACTCATAAACTAACAATAAATTTACTGACATGCACACAAACACATGTATTAGGCTTAAAGAATCAATGTCAACAAAGAACCAGACAAATCCCTAAACATATTATCCCTTCGAAAGATCACTTAGCAGGAAAAATAAGCTCTGTGCACCAAACACAATCTTACCACATTTATTATGGATGATGAGTAAACCTTTCCACTGAATTTTTAGCCCTTATGTTGCCTGCTTTGCCGACAGGAGGGACGAAGGATTTGAATTGAGGATATCTAGTATAAAAAAGAAATTTCACCAGAAACAAAAAATCAACTCTAACAAATCTAAAGAAGTTGTTATAGTATTATTAACTGTGCCTAAAATTTAAATTAAAACACAATTTGCAGAAAAATGAATGATTTCAGTTATTAAATTACCGGAAATCACTTAAGTAATTATTCTATGGAAAGAACTTCTGCATGTTAGCAGATAGGTGATATGGGAATTCACAGTGGTATAAAGTGAAAAAAAGTCCTATGGTTGGAAGACCCAAGTATGAAGAAATGTCTCTAATTTGTTTATATCATGAAGAACTTTCACTTGGTTTATCCATCATATCAAACTTTGGAATCAAAATGAACTCTTACTGTCCGAAAATAAAATGAAAAAGGTACCTCTATGCACAATCTAGCACTTCGCTCCCTAGTACTAGACTTCATTTTCTTTTATTCAACTTCAATGGATGTCTATAGACTTCCCATATTAATCAAAATTGGAGAAAGAAAAAAACATTATTTTCAGATATATGATCTACCCATAAAAGATTGCGTCTCTTCAGGACACAAAGTACCTTTCTTTCCCTATTCTATCTCTACCATTATATTCCATAAAAAAATCAGAAGTTCGTTCAGCTAATATTATTAAACATATTTGCCTGAGTTTGTCTTCCAATTGAAGAAACAAATTTGAGTAATTTCTAAACTGAGCTTTTCATTTAGTAACAGAACATCTGGTTCCAACTTGCATGTAGAATGCAAAATAAATCAATGGTGTCTTGTGAGAAACATTTTTTCTATGAAACAAAAGTGTGAAGTATATTGATGTGTCGACGCCAAGGAAGCGCCACCCATGTACAAAAGATTTACAAATCAATTAGTATATTTATAACAGAGCCAAAATCTTCTAAACTATCAAGGTTGTGCCCTAAAACAATAGAGCCAAAATAGTGAAACCATCTATCATTGATAGTAACAAAATCAACTTCTTTCCCCTCAAAGAAGCATGTCTTGAAAACTTTCAAAGAAAATATCCCATTTTTTAAAATTAAAGCACCAAGACTTTGAGGAAACTCCACATGATAAAGCTCTTAAATTTGTAAAACGACCTACACATGGAAAAGCCAATCCATACCAAAGTATTGCAATTTGTTCAATTATTAATGTTTTTAAATAATTATGCCAGTAGGAGTCAACACAATTTCATTTCCAAAGGCAAAAAACCAAACTCAATGGAAAACTTTGTCTTACAAGAAAATGAAAGAATAAATATAACAAAGCACCAAAACAAGGAGCAATTACTCCCTTTACATGGTAAATTCTGTATTCGCATTAAGCTAGAATATAAGCATTTTGGGTGATTACATGAGGGGACTAAAAAGTGCATTTGAAGACAATTCTTCTACTTTCCTATAATTGAGACCAATTATGTGCTCAAGCTTCATCCTTTTCCCAATAGGGAGGATCTAAGATGCCCTAACAGGCATCTTTTTTCTTAAATAAGCCCTAATAGACATCTTCTCTGATAACTTCCTGTAAATAATTCTTTTCTCAATGGCCCTTGGTACTCTGTGAATGATACTTCTTATTTTGTCTTTAAGAAAAAGTTAGAAAATCAGTGGTACATGTTAAAAGACCCTGTCTAGTTAACAACAAAACCATAACAGAAAAAAAAAACAACAGACTTCAAGCACATTAGGTTTAGAGAGAGTTCATTCCAGGCCAATGTTTGCCAAGATATACCACCAGACTGGAGCCACAAATCCACAGGACAAGACACTGAACGAAGTAGGGAAACTCCAGAAAAGACTGGAGTCAAATATCCAGTTGGGAGCCAGAATC